AGGCAGGCAGATTGGGGGGGGGTAGTTAATTATTTTAATTGTGTTGAAGGGAGGTCTGCTCTTCAAAACTGAATATTCAACTCCACTTCCAAGGTTATGGTCTGTATCATGATCGCCAGAATCATCTGCTTTACAGTGTGACATTTCTGCTTATGAGCGAAGGGACACTGGCCTCATCGTTACAATGGGTACCAATCCCTTTTATTCTTGTGTCTTCACAGCTATTCAGGAAGCTCATCACATGTCAGTGAGTGCTTTGTGAGGCAAATGGATTCTGGATTAAACACAAACAACTGACCTCCACAATGGAGCATCTATCCCTTTATTATTATTCTTCTCTCCCACAATGTTTTTCTGCAGAATGGAGTTTACTACAGCAGCTGTGGTTCTATTACCATCAATGTGGTACTGCGATGTGTGTTCAGATGGGTGGCATTTTAAACCAGCAAACTTTGACTTTTGTTTGGAGTCACACTTGTCAGACCTAATCTGAGGAGTGGTTCTACTGTTCAGGGGAAGTTTTAGGTCTCTTTGTGCTGAGACACCAAATTAAAAAAAAAAAAAACAAAAACAAAAACAGAAAAGGCGTTTTACTGAGTCAATAAAATTGGAGTGGATATAGCTTAAGGATATGTGACTTACAGCTGGAAATTTTATTCTAATTTCTTCTGATTATCAATTTTTAAGAACTAATTCATCTATGACTTCATATCCGCAAATGATACAGTTACTATCAGTTCTTCATAGAAAATTTTCCCAAACATACACATCCAGCATTTGGAAAACAACTGGAATCCGTTTTGCAGAGTATTAAATCATTTGCAAAATCCCTCTTTATAGATTAGTTATAAGGAAGTAATGAGAATTCCTAAGGAATGATAGTTCACACACACACACCCACACACCATTTAAAAATAATTAGCTTATTTAAACTGTAAAAGCCAGTATGAGATTTGTTTATTCACTTGAAATGATTGGCTCTCACTTATTGACATAACAACAACTTGGGACTGTAGCTATTTAAAAAGAAAATATAATAGAAAGATGTAGGGGCGGGTGTCTGGCATAGAGATTAAGATTCATTTGGGAAGCCCACATCATATAGGAGTGCCTGGGTTCAATACCCCACTCTGGTTCCTGCTCCTACTTTCCTGAGGAGGTGCATCCTGGAGGCAGCGGTGCTGGCTCCAGTGCTTAGATTCCTGCCACTTGAGAAGAGCTTGGAATGTAACAAATGCTCAATAAAAGTCAGCTGTTACTATGTTAGCACATCTATTATTCAGGTTTTCAGTAATTCAGAGCACATCAATGTGCCTTTAGTCATCTGTGGCACTGAGAGGGGATATGACACTGACTCAGCTATCCCCAGGGGCTTCTTATCTCACCTGGCACAAAACCCAAAGTCCATGCAATTGGCCACTTCTTGGACCTCATTGCTTGACAAAGGCCTGGCAACTTGTGTGTCTGGAATTCCCTCTGCCTTAGACACTCTACAAAGCTACCTCCTTCATTTGGTTTTCTGTTCAAGTGTCCCTACAGAAAGATCTCTCCTAATAATTCCAACAAGAAAAAAAAAAGAGCTTTTTGCTTTCCCTTCTACCTGGTCATCTCCCTATCTGCTTTACTTTTCTTAATACTTAATAATTAGTAATAATTAATAATACTTAATAATTAGTAATGATAATTACACTAAGTATGTGTTATTTATTCTCTAAAAACCGTCTGTCTTCTCCACTTGAGTGTAAGCTCTTTGAGTTCTGGGAGTGTCATACATGGCTCTACCATAAGTCTAAAACATTGCCCATATGTAGGAGGCTCTCAAAACACAGTTATCAAACAATTGAATTAAATCATAGGACAGAAAAACATGTCGCACGAGGTGTACCCTTCAAGGCTTATTATCTTCTTTGAGAGAGGAACTGGTCCTAGCGGTCACAGTCTACTGTTGTTCCAATCACTTTAATTTTTCAAGTGATTGCTGAGGTAAATGATAATTTTTTTATTATACCCATCCAAGAGTTAATTGTTAACTTAAAAAATTCCCTTTATATCCACTCATTATATTTGTAATAGAACAACTAATTTAGTAGCTGGTTTGTTGGTTATTAGTGTTTAAATTCATCTTATGCATTAGGATGCACATATAGAAGAGTACCAGGAATATTCTGCATAGAATGTGCCTGGGAGACATTTCATTTTACAGATATGCTAATGCATAATTGTAATTCAATTGCATAGATTTCCTATTAATTTTGATAAGTAAAATTCATATGAGGCCATTGTTATGGACTAGGGATCCTGCACTGGGTCCGAAAAGACCACACTAAAACAAGAATGGCGTCGCTCACACTAAAGTTCTGTGTTACCACGGGGTAGGTGTGCGGTGCAGTGGTAAAAACGCTGCTTGGACTGCCTGCACCCATTTCAGAGTGCCTGGGTTTGAGTCTGGCCTCAGTTCCCTAGTCCAGCTCCCTGCTGGCGTGCACTCAAGGAGGCAGCAAACATCGCTTAGGCAATTGGGCCCTTGCCCCCGACCAGGGAAACCTAGTTTTAGTCCCAGGCTCCTGGCTTAGGCCTGGCCCAGCTCTGTTAGCTGCATGTGGAGGGTCAACCAGTGGATAAAAGATTTCAGTTTGTCTCTGCCTTTCACATGGAAAATAAAATGTCCCCTGTCACCAAATCAAATGAAACTAAGCTGTTTTCTGAATGCTCCAGAAATCAGGAGAGTTAAGTTAAAAATCAGCAGAGTTAGAAATAATGAAGTTCCTTCTGTTTTAATCCTTACAAAAACTAATCTGATTCTAAGCAATACATTATTTTTCTATTGTTCTGTCTCCCTATTCCTGCCTTACAAAGAAAGTCACTTTTGAAGTGGCCATTTCTTTTCTTTTTTGCTTTTTTCAGCCCTTTTCTGTCTATAAAACTAAACTCTTCTGCCTAGCCCCTTGGAACATTTATTCCATTTTATTTTCACTATTTAGCATTTTATTAGTTTTAGACTTGCAAAATAAAGTCCATCAAGGTCTTTAACTTAAGATGATGTAATTTTGGGTTTTGTTTTCAGCATCTAAGTGGGAGGAAGGAAGAGCTTGGGGCCAGAACCTTGCCTGGGACTGAAAAGTGGACAGGGAAGAAGGGAGGGAAGCCAGTGGTTCTACCAGAGGATTCCCCAGGAGGCAGGAGGCTCATATTCCTCAAAGCCTAGCTGGTCACACCTTTTGACCCTCATGCATGAGATGCACTCCTTCCCATCAGACATACCCTTCACATCCACTCTGCTGCTTCCCAGCAAGAGGAGCAAACAGAGCAGAAGATAAATGAGAAGAGTCTGGTTCAGAAGCCATCGGCTTTCCCATCCTGGGAGGCTTCTGCATCATGATATGCTACTGGGGCTGGCCCAAAAAGGCCAGTCCCAATTGTAAGATCCATGGAAAGGTTCTGAATACTTCTTTTATCAGTAATGAAAACAAAGATGTCAGCCCATGTTCACGGAGACTGTAAAGTGTTCAAGTCTAACTCATATTTTTTTAAAAAAGGCTATCCAAATCAAGTCAAGCAAAGCTATCGTTTACTTGCTGTTTTACCCCATTAGTATTAGAGCTGCCCACAGATACACAGTCCGTCAGGGACTTGCACACTTCTGGCTTCATCACTTACTAGGTTTGTGGCCTTGGGCACACAATTTGACCTGTCTTTGCTTCAATTTCCTTATCTATCAAATGGGTAAAAGTATCTATCTCCTAGGTATGTTGTGAAGAATAAAAGACACCCAAAAAGCACTACACCTACTACCTGGCATGCGGTATGTACTTAATGATTGCCACGCACCCTTCAAGTTACTCATTCTGAGCCTAGCATTTGTTACCTTCCCCCAGTAGGCATGGTTCCCCTCCTCTGCTTAGTAACAGCCTGCCGAGCTCTAGCTGGATGCGTGGCTGCCCAGCAAAAGGCCCCATTTCCCAGCAGGTGCAGCCATGAGTATACATTCTAGTCCCTGGGGTGTGGGCAGAAATGAGGAGCGTAACCCAGCCTGCCTGAAAGGGAGGGCTTGCCCTCCAGGCACTCCTCCCTCGGGCTAGGATGTGGGAGTGGTGATTACCTTTGAGCTAGGGACACCAACACCACATAGGGAAAAGTGGAGCAGCCACAGGGCCCCTCCCTGGGCCTCCCACCTGCTGGGATTTATGCATTTGAAAAAAATAAACTTCCATGCTATTTAAGCTATAATTATTTGGTTCCTGTGAAAGTGGCCAAATCAACATGGTAACTAATGCTGGCCTATTTAGTCCATTTTTGAATTATAAATATTGTTAGTAATGCATCTTCATACGTATGGTCTATCCTTTCCATACGGATGGTTATTTGTTTGATGTCTAGTCCTTGTCCTATGAAGATGACCCCTCCTGACAAAATGATAATGCTTCAAGCCGGCGCCATGGCTCAATAGGCTAATCCTCCACCTTGCGGCGCCGGCACACCGGGTTCTAGTCCCGGTCGGGGCGCCGGATTCTGTCCCGGTTGCCCCTCTTCCAGGCCAGCTCTCTGCTATGGCCAGGGAGTGCAGTGGAGGATGGCCCAGGTGCTTGGGCCCTGCACCCCATGGGAGACCAGGAAAAGCACCTGGCTCCTGGCTCCTGCCATCGGATCAGCGCGGTGCGCCGGCTGCAGCGGCGGCCATTGGAGGGTGAACCAACGGCAAAGGAAGACCTTTCTCTCTCTGTCTCTCTCTCTCACTGTCCACTCTGCCTGTCAAAAATAAAATAAAAAAAAAAAATGATAATGCTTCACAAGTCACTGGTGGTCTCTTGGCGCGGGCAATGGACTCCTAGACAGCAGTGACACATTCAGTCTACGTGAGGGGAATGCCGCCAGGAGGGAAGGCAGTGGCGCAAGAGCACAGGGTCCAGGCTGAGTTGGGGCTGGCACTCCCTGCACATCCATGGCTACCCTGTATTCTGGTGCAGGGGTGGGAAACAGAGGCTTGCCCAGGGCGTCCCTACCAGCCGGAGGTAGTTCTGCAGCGTCTTCAGAGGAATCATGGATGCGTACGTCACACTACTAAGGCAGCCTTCTTGAGGGCCTGTAAGAAATAGACACAGGAGAGAAATGGGCTCGTCTCCATTCAATATAAATGACCAAAACACAACAGAATGCATCCTAGCATACCATACACTTGTGGACATAGGCAGACAGTTGAATTCCATCAAGAAGCACTGGTATGCATTTGCCATGGTGAAAATATTGCCATTCTCTGTATGGGCAGGTAGACAGCCACTGATCTTGGCCTCTCCAGAGCTCCCCCAGGAAACCTACCTACCTCCCCGCAAATCCAGCCCCCACACTGTAGCTGGTACCTGGAAGATCGCTGTTTTACTGTCCAGAAGCAAAAGTCATCATAGATAACCCCAATCCTCAGGAAGTTGTAGCCTTGGCCAACATTAATGCAGAGGTCTGGGATTTCCCTTTAGGTGTCAACCCCCCATTCCCCCAGCACTGCCATTCCCTCAATACATTGTTTGAGCCTAAGGGGATTTTCTAGGGTATTTTCACTTTTTTTATTTCAGTAAATTGAGATCACACAATAAAACTTTATTAGTTGAGACTAAATATTTGAAAACTCACAAGTATGGAAAACACGTGATTAAATCAGCAGCCTTGTAGAGTCAAGGGCCAAGAAATTTTGTTTTTTTTTTAAACCAGTTACTAGTGGGTTGATCTTAGGGCAAGAAAAACAACCTGAGTGAGCCTTAATTTTCTTGTGACTAAAATGAGGATAAGCAGGAATTACAAGGGTACCACAAGTAGTTCATAGAAAGATGTTTATTTTGGTGCAAAAATGTTTTTGGTATCTATGCATGGGGTCGGCAATGTGGCACAGGAGGTTAAGCCACTGCTTGGAACACTCAAATTCTATATCAAAGTGCTGGGTTCCACTTTTGATCCAACCACCTGCTCATGTATACCTTGGGAGGTAGCAGATGATGGCTCAAGTACTTGAGTCCCTGCCATCCACTGAGGAGACTCAGACGCTGCCTCCTGTTTTGAATTGGCCTAGCCTCAGCTATTATAGGCATTTGGGGAGTGAACTCTCTCTTGCTAGCTCTGCCTTCCAAATAAAAAGAAAAAGAATGTTGAAAAACAGAAAGGAGGTACATGCATATGTTTTTCAAAATATGCATTTTCCATGAAGTTTGTGAAAGCCCTTGTAAGCATTGGACTTCAAGTTTTTTTTCTGTACCAAAAATAATCATTTAATCCCATTTTCCATAGATTTTTTTGATGTACTTAAGTATTTTTCTCATTGAGTTGTTATAATGATTACATGATTTTACATTATGTCTTATGCCATAAATAATGGGGCCTTCCACACAGAGGTGCTAACTGAACACTAGCCTTTTCCATTATAATAATCATGTTATACACATATGTGGAGCAAACGTGGTGGCACAGTGAGCTACACTGCCACCTGCAACATTGGCATCCCATGTCAGAGTGCTAGTTTGCGTCCTGGCTGCTCTGCTTCCAACCCAACTCCCAGCTAATGTGTCTTGGCAGACAGTGGGGGAATGGTCCAAGTACTTGGGCCCCTGCCACCCATGTGGGAGACCAAGATAAAGCTCTGGGCTCCCAGCTTCAGCTTTGACCAGCTCCAGCCATTGTGACCATTTGGGGAGTGGAGCAGCAGCTGGAAGATCTCTCCATCACTCATTCCAATCAATCAATCAATCAGTCAACCCACACTGTGCTTGACAGTATCAAAAGACATTTCTGTTTTTATCATCTCTGTCACTCTCAAATTACATGTCCCTGAGGCCTTCGCTTGTGCCTCGTGTGGGAAGCAATCAGAAGGGTCAGAACCAGTAAACTCGACAGAGAGCAACATGGGTGTTAGAAATATGGCTTTGGATTTTTCTTTCTCTTGCTCCAGTGTTTCAAAAGTCATCTCAGCACCTCACAGTGGGAGTCCTACCTGCAGGGCTAGAGGAAGCAGGATGAAAACACGCAGACTAAAGAAGCCGCACCATGAGCCAGCCACGGAGCAAACTGTCTTTGCACACCCTATCGGGATGGAACAGCATTACCTGACAGAAGCGCCGTGACTTGCTCCGTCTTGTTCTTCCTCACGAAGTCCCACGGGGACGGGGCGAAGCTCCGTCCTGCTGGCCACGGCATATTTCCTAGTTTGAAAAAATGAAACAAAATGTCAGTGGCAGCTTGAAAGAAATTTCTCTCTTAAGGGTAAACATATATTCTCCTCTGTAAGAGCCCCATGAAATCCATAGCTTAAATAGTCAAGGGCACACACAAGAACATCTAGAAGGTCACGCAAGGGATTAACTCCTAAAAAACAAAACAAAACAAAACAAAACCCTCTGTGGAAGGTCTTCACACTACTGAATTTCCCAAAGTAGTCCTTAGGAGGAATTTAAGGAGATATCCAGATGGCAAGGATATCAAGATAGCAAAAAAATAATACCAAATACTTCCGGGGTTGAGTTCTGAAGAGCAAAGATAATGGAACCTAAAGCTGCTTTCTGGCTCTTATAATGCCTGCTTTACAAAGCCCAAGCACTGCGGAGGAAACATCAGAACCTTTATGATCTGGTCTTTGCACCCCTTCCAGCACATTCTAGATCCCCGGGGTGGGGGGGGGGGTGCTTGCAGGTGCTCAAAATAAGGCAAGCCCGCTCCCAGCCAGGGCCTCTGCCCTTCCTGCTCTGGGAGGAACCACTTCACAGACGTTTTCTCTCACCAGGCTTAGTAGTAAGTACTGTCACTTCATCCCTTCCACAGGGCAGGTTTTAACTATCTATGATCAGCATGAGCCTAAGATACAAGCATATCCCACCTACAGTCCTCTCTCTGTTGGCCTGAAATTCTAATGTAGTTTGGGCTATGATCCAGCAAAATCACTTACACACTATGCACCAATAACAATGCTGCAATTACCCATCGTCAAGTGGCTACAGTCAGGCACTGGAACTAAGTCCTTTTTTATTTTATTTTATTTTTTATTTTTTGACAGGCAGAGTGGACAGTGAAAGAGAGACAGAGAGAAAGGTCTTCCTTTGCCGTTGGTTCACCCTCCAATGGCCGCCGTGGCCTGCGCGCTGCGGCCGGCGCACCGCGCTTATCCGATGGCAGGAGCCAGGTGCTTTTCCTGGTCTCCATGGGGTGCAGGGCCCAAGCACCTGGGCCATCCTCCACTGCACTCCCTGGCCACAGCAGAGAGCTGGCCTGGAAGAGGGGCAACCGGGACAGAATCCAGCACCCCAACCGGGACTAGAACCCGGTGTGCCGGCGCCGCTAGGCGGAGGATTAGCCTAGTGAGCTGCGGCGCCGGCCCTGGAACTAAGTCCTTTAACCACAAAAACTCCATGATTTTTAGACCTGAAGTGCCACTAGTGTTCTACACATCTGTGATAAGCATAAGCACTGGGCAGGGTCAAGCCTTAGCACCCACTACTCCTGGAGCTATGTTTATCTGGTGGAGGGGAACGTGCATGTGCCTTGGCCAACTTCTGGATTGGCTGTAGCAAGGCTGCTGAGGTCCCATTGCCTTTAGATCCTTGTAGTGTGGCCCTCGTTTGCCAGACAGTGGCACAGTCACACTTTGAATAACACTCTGTCATGCGACCAGAATGTGTTCCTGAGAATCAACTTCTGACTTATTTTCTGAATGCAAATCAATGATCTAACATTTCTGTAATAATCTGAATGATCATGCTAAAGATTCATACAATCAAGTTTTCATGAATATTTTTTCTACAAACCAGTGGTAATAAACGTTTTCCAAGGGAAGTAGCACATATGAGCGAGGAGAATAAAACGCTTCCTGATAGAAGATGATACATCCATGTGAATAGCAAAAGCACACCCTCCCCTCAGCCGTGAGCCTTCCTTTCCAACACGCTGCTGTTGAAAGTATACAAGCTTCCCACTGGACAGGCTGTGACTTGCATCCTGACTGCTTTGCTCATTAATTGTGTGACTGCAGCTAAGTCCTCTTTACCTACTTTTCTGTACAATGAGGCTGTTGGAAGGACCATTTGTTTATAAAGCTCCCAGCACGGCCTTTCAAAGGAGTAGATTCCCCAGTTCTCCTGGTCCAAGAGCAAGGAAACTATCCAAGGATGAATAACACATATGGAGCACTTACCACGCTCACCAGAAAGCAAACCTTATATTTTTAAGTCCTTTGGAGTCTGCTTTATGGTGTCTATCAAGCAGAAATAACCAGTTAGTGCCTGACTCATCCCATATGGAGCTTTGAGCCTGTCTTCATTCAAGTGCTTCTTCCAAATCTAAAGTCCTTCAGGGCACTTATCCTGGAGGGAAGGTAGTAACCCACCACAGCACCCCTGGCAAGACCCAAGACAAATCCAAAGCCGAGTTCAGGGCTGTACATCAGTAAGCAGCTGCGTTGTGCTTAGTTTGTTGCATTTATTTAAAACACCAGGCATGATCACCGAGCCTCATCAAGGGCTCTCATGTTCCTAATGCTTGAGTATTACTTGAGGCATAAAAGCTGTTATATTATCAGGCAACATTACGTAATGGCTACATTGTGACTATTCAAATTTTTCAGTGCCAGCAGCTGCCACAAGGGAACTCTGAATGCTTCATCAATGAATGTCAGATTATGAAGCCCACACATGCAAATAAACCCAGAAATGCAATGTTCTCTTCACAGTGAGAGTGCTGGTACCTAGCGTGATGGATCGTACGCTGCTTGCGCTGAGGCCGATGCTAGAGTCGGTGGTGTTATTAAATGCCACGTCTTCCAGACTCCACCACCCATCAGAAGAGATTGCTTGAAAATGATTTGTCAGAGCTTGACTCACTGCTTTTGAAAAATCATCCCACGATGTCTGTTTGCGGATACTTAAAGTACATATTATGTTTTCGCATTCAAAATCATCGGAACCACAGTTGTCTGGTTGAATCTCACCTACGGAAATCCTTAAGGGTATTTTAAGAGCATCTGTTAGAAGAATAAAAGAATTACATGTTTAAAAGTAAATCCTGATAGAAAAAAATAACAAAATCAGTATCTTAACTAAGCAAAAAAACAAAAACAAAAAAGCAATATTAGTATACAAATTAGGCAGAAATGAACATCTGTAAAAAAGTCAAAGAAAAGTTATCATTTTTAAAGTAACATTGAGTGTTCTTATTCTAGAGTAAACTTTGTTCTCCCAATCTCTTCACATGTCTTTGGAAATATATTAGGTGAACTGTCACTTTTTCATTTCTTATTTTTTAAAGATTTATTTATATATTTTGAAAGAGTTACAGACAGAGGCGGAGAGACAGACAGAGGGAGATGGTCCATCAACTGGTTCAATCCCTAGATGGCTGTAATGATCAGTGCTGGGCCAGGCCAAAGCCAGTAGCTTCTTTCAGGTCTCCCACATGGACGACAGGGACCCAGGTACTTAGGCCACCTTGCACTGCTTTTCCCAGGCTCATTAGCTGGGAGCTGGATCAGAGGTGGAGTAGCTAGGACATGAACTGGTGCCCATGTGAGATGCCAGCATTGCAGGCAGCAGCTTTAACCACTATGGCACGATACCATCTCTGTGAGATGTGTTTTGTTACATGTATCTTTAGTCCTTTCTTTATCATTGACTCCCTTCAGCAAGATTATCTTAAAAAAATACCTGGGAGAATCTCACTTGACCTTGAATTCTTTGTATTCTTCTTATCTTCATAGACAATGCCATGAACAAGGAAGCTTAAAGGGGGAATAAGTCAGTATGCTTAGAATAAAGGCTTAGATTCATATAGAGCTTGGTTTGCACCTCAAGTTCAGCCTTCTACCAGCTATATGTACTTGATAAATTGCCTTGATCTCTCTATACTGAAATTTCTTCTTGTATAAAATGGAAGGAATATGCACGGAGTTGTTAGGAAGAGTAAAAGAACTTGCATTTGTGGTAGGTTTGACAAACTTTTTACATGGTAAACAGGAGCTATTATTTTCTTTTTAAAGACTGTATTTATTTATTTGAAAGGCAGAGTTACAGAGAGAGAGGGAAGGTAAAGAAAGAGAGAGAGAGAGATTTGCCATCTGCTGATTCACTCCCCAAATGGCCTCAACAGGCAAGGCTGGGCCAGGACGAAGCCAGGAACCTCATATGGGCCTTCTGTCAATGTGGTAGGAGCTCAAGGACTTGGGCCATCTTCCACTGGATGGAGCTGGATGGGAAGTGGAGCAGCTGTGACTTGAATCAGTGCCCATATGGGATGCTGGCATTTCAGGTCGCAGCTTTTACCCACTATGCCACAATGGCAGCCCCGTAGGAGCTTTATTAATGAGCTTTTCCATCTCTCTTTGACACCCACTGAAGGAGGCTCCACTGAGGCGGGTGGTACCACATCTACTTCTGCTCTTATGCACTGAGTGCCTACTAAGAGTCACTTGTGTTTGTTCCCAAGTCTTTTATGTCTGCTTAGCTCATTATTCTAATTAGTGCATTAAATATCCCACAAACTGATGAAATAGGAATTACTTTCCCTATGAAAGTTGAGTTGAATGCCAGCTAATGAAGTATGTGATAATTATAGGAAATATGAAAAAAGTGCAATCATCTTTGGACAGATCCCACCTTTAGTCTATCACAAATGTGGTCAGGTACTCAAACACTAGAAATCATAGATGATGCATTATAGGTAGGCTTGTGCAAACAAGAATATGAGGGTACTTCCAAAGCTTCAGGAAGATGGAATTAAAAGATGAGTTTACATGTATTTTGGTGCATAAAAATTCTGAAGTTCATGTTGCTCCTTTGCCATTCCCTTTACTTTTTTAAAACTCCTTAATAATAGAGTATTCAGGGCAACTTTCTCCTATTTTTTCTATGTTTAGTCCCATAATAAGTGATCTCATCTAGTCCCATGATTTCAAACATCATTGATAGAGTGCTGACTCCCAGATTTATACATCCAGCTCACACTTGTCTCCAGAATTTCTGCTGACTTGACATCTCCACATGCACATCCTGACAGACATCTCAGATTCACACATTCAGAACAGAACTCCTGACCTTCAGTACCAAAACCTGCCTCACGCACAGCATCCTCTTGAAGATAACAGTGACTCCATCCTGCCAGTTGCTCAGACTGAACACCTGACTTATCCCGGAATCCTCCCTCTCATACACTGCCTCAGTCCGTGAGGATTTTCACCTCTATATTCAGCTGTATCCAGACCCAAGCACTTCATCTGCTACAGTCCTACATACAACCATCATTATTGTGTCTCACCTGCTTTCCCACAGTCTTGTCCTAACAGATGATTCTAATTTTACCCATGATTTAGTACAACCTGTTCTCCAAAAGCAGCCAGTGACACTGCTACAATGCACATCAGCTCTGTCCCTCTCATGGTAACCCCGAGTCTTTACAAGAGCCCACAGATGCCAATAGACCTCCACCCTATCCTGCAACTTCTCTGACCTACGTTCCTACCTATCTCCCCTCTCTTTTCCCAGTCACCTTGTTCTTCTTTCAGTTCCTCAGACACATCAGGTGCATCCTACCTCAGGGCTTCTATGTGCTTGATGTTCCTCTTGGAAAAATTTACCTGAAATCTCTACATAGCTGCCCTTTACCTTTGCTTAAATGTCGTACCAGTGAGGCTACCTTCACCAACACTGTGAAAACTAAAACCCAGCCCCAGTCTCCTCATCCCCCTTGGTCATTTTCGTAGCACATCGCACCATTTTACAATGCCATATAACAAATTATTTTTGAGTTTATTGTTCACTTGCTGTCTCTTAATGTTAGACTGTAGGTTCATGATGGCAATCTTCTTGAAAAATTCTCTGACATACCCACGTGGCTAGGACAGTGCTCGGCACATACAGGAGTTCAGTGGATGCTTGTTGAAGGAATAAATGAAAGGGTAGACTTTTGCAAGAGTTTCCCCAATTCCTTTCCATATTATGCATTGCTTAAAATAATCAGTTTCTGCCAACAAAACTGCTTGAAACTTGTCTCACTTTTAGTAACGACTTCCTATTTGCCAAATGCGATTAGCTCTCTTCTCAACCCACACTCTAGGGCGTTTGATGCTATTGAATTATTTCTTCCTCTCTGAAACAATCCTAACTTGAGCCTGATAAGACTATTGTTTTCTCACTCTCTTCCCTTCTAATATTTTTTGTAAGCAACTTTGTCCTCTATGCTGTCCTCGAAATCAGGATGCCTTTAGGCTTGGTGTCCGGGCCTCTTTTTCCTGATCCTACACTTCTCTCCCTGTTAGTGATGGGTCTGTGTCTTGGCAGCCATGGCACTCTTCTCTAGCCCAGCTGCCACTCAGCTATTTCAGACCCCCATTCCCTCCCCTACTTGGTACAGTCATCATTTCCCTTTAGGGCATCCTATACGGAGACAATATGTTCACATTACCAACCTCTCATGTCAATCATTCAACTATTTTTCAGTATCCACAGCATTGTGTCAAAACTTACTCATAGGATTGAACCACAGTGCATAATACATACCTTTCCATCCTCACCTGCCTCTTGTCCCCTGCACTGAAGATAGGGTTAACTGCCCATAGAGACTCTAAAGCACCGTGCACGCCAATGCCTGCAGACATGCTGTTGGTTCACCTGGAATGCTCTACCTTCAGCTCTTTTTGAGCCCAGCCCTTCTGTTCTCACTTCAGTCCTCCATGGGGAAGCTCTTACCTCGCATGCACTGACACTTTGCCTCATTTAAAGTACTCATAACAAATATAGGCTTGGAGTTGTATTTTTAAAACTTTACACAGATGGTTTTATATTACATTTCCTTTCATAGCTGCCTTCTTAACATTTCTGAGTGTTGCTATGGTGATTTCTGTAGGTAAAACTTATTTTTATGTGCTGTTTGTAACTTTAGAACATGGATTTTCTACTATCCATTCTCCCAAAAGATTTCCATTTGGAATGCTTTCCAGGTTCTCCTAGGACCTACAATGTTGCAGTGAACATCTTCACTTGTCTTCTGGCACACAGGTGCAAGAGTGCCTCTAGCTTAAGGACCGAAATAAAGAATAAAACAGGTTTGTTAAATAAAGATAAAGGACCTCCTTTGTGTTGCTTTGACATCCTCTGTTCCTCTGTGCTTACCCTCTACACATCATTTGCACTGACAGGTTCTATTGTCAGCTGTATGGAAGTCGTCTTCCAATCTAAATGCACATCCTTTTATTTCACTTCTCACACATCGTCAGAATCACAAACCTTACAGAGACTAAGAAATTATTCACTCTTTCATCCACCAACATATAAGCAATTATTATCCCCAATTAACAGATGAGCAAACTGAGGTCAGGGAATGTTTAGCATCTTGCCTGAGGTAACACAGACCTCAAAGAAGCCTGGGACTAAGTCCAGTTTTCCACAAGATGTGCACTTACAAGTCCTGCCGACATGTCTGAGACAGGAATTACACCTGGGTCCCTGGGTGAAATATTTTGTTAAAGGATTTACCAGTCCCCATGTTTAGGATTTTCCTGTCTACCAACTTAATCTAACTCCTGACACACTTAATTTAAACTTCTAGGTGCTATACTTGTTCCCAGACTCTCTATAGATGGATTTGTCTCATATGGAACTACCTACTTGGTTTTCTAAAAAATATTTATTTATTTATTTGAAAGGCAGAGTTACAGAGAGAGGCAGAGGCAGAGAGAGATCTTTCATCTGCTGGCTTACTTCCCATAAAGCCACAATGGCTGGAGCTGGGCCAGTCCAAAGCCAGGAGCCAGGAGCTTCTTCTAGGTCTCCCACATGGATGCTGGGGCACAAGGACTTGGGCCATCCTCCACTGCTTTCCCTGGTCCATTAGCAGGAATCTGGATCAGAAGTGGAGCAGCTGGGATTGGAACTGGTGCCCACACGGGATGCCAGTGCTGCAGGTGGTGGTTTAACTTGCTACATCAGTGCCAGCCCCTGCCTACTTGATTTTAAAACACCACTTGAATTATATGCACTCTTGAGAATCTCATTAGCTCTTTTTTTCTCGTCGTGTGAAATCAAAACTACTAATACTGCACTACACTGTCTCAAACATCCACTTCCCTGTACCAATTTTCCAGCTCTAATTCAGCCAAGCCAATGTTCTTCTCCTTCATGTCCCACATACTGTAACTATCAATGTGTATTTCTTTCATTTCTCCATGTTTAATTTCAAAAATGGAATTTAAATAAATGATAGCATTAGCATTTCAGAATAAATTTTCAGTCCAATAGAAAATTTTCCATTTCCCTGTCAGTTTACGTTCTGTTGATGTACCTAAAAAGCTGCAACGTTTTTACCAAAGAGTTCTTATAGCTTGGACAAAGTCTATGAGGCACAGTTTCAGTCAACAGTGATTCAGAAGTTTAAGGTCCTGAAAGTGAGATTTTGATAAAGAATGTAGTCCTTGTGCGAACCAAAAATTTCTCATTTTCTTTTATCCCTTATTAAAATATCCTTATAGTTTACACATATTCTTCCCAACATTCTGAAGTTTCCTTTACCAGATAAGAGAATACACATCTATGTATTGGACTGAAGGTTAAAACTACTAACTTTTAAAATTCTGCTTTTCTTAAAGTTGAACTACTGACACGGTTGGTTGGATCAACAGATTGGGTTATAATCTTGACACAAGAGGTCATAATATTTTATATGATCTGGAACTTCATATTCACAAACACACGAATGAAGCTTTCATAAAATACGCTGAGGAATACATGCTCTCAGAGCTGGAAGCAATCCCAAAGATTATCAGTTATCTTCAGAGATGGGTGGGCAACCAGGCACTGGGAGACACACAGGCTGCCTGGTTCATGGAGGCAGCTGATGCAGAGTACACAGTGAGGATTCCTCATCCCTGTCAGTCTAATGTCTACAAAGATAATCTAAGTCATATGAAAATAGTGACAATTATTTAAATTGCTCTCCTAGGTCAATAAGATACAAGGGAGAGCTAGCATTATTTGAATAATGATTTAGTTGTGCAAAAAACCATTATGTGTGAAAAAGAAATAACAGCCACATTCATAATCAATAAGGTGCTTTTGCAGTAGCTGGGACACAGAAAACGTAAAGAGGATGAGGAAACTGTGGTTGCAGTAATATTTTTTTCATTATTCCAGAGGTACCAGCAGAGTACAGGAAAAACTAACAACAGGATTCAAACATCACTCACTCAGATTCTCCAGCAAGTGCTTGCAGTCATCAGTAGCAACATCATGCACAGTCCGATTGCACTTGTCTCTCTTTTCTGGCTCCAGCCCTCCGTGCCTACATAAGATTTCTAGGCAGTTCTGTAAAGACAAGAACTCCATTATCTCCGAATCCAAATGAATTAAATTGAATACAAAACCCAAGAGAAAAGCCAGCTGCCTGTAGCAAGCCAATCAAGAATTCACAGCAAGAAATCTTATTTCAATTCCAGCAATCCAAACATACAGATTAATCTCCGATTAATGTAAAGATTGTCTGGGAATGCAAATCAAAGAGTGCTTCATTTAAATGAGAACCACAGATAATAACGTAGCTCCAAATAAAGTCTTTTATGTGTCCAGGAAAAAAATGTAGCTTACTAATCAGTTTGCAGTGTAAAATTAAGAGTAAAATTGCCTTCAGCAGACAGTATCCTATTATGGTACTTTGGCAAAATAAAGCAAAAAGACTTTTGCTACAACTGGATGTCCCTTGCTGTCTTTGAGACTTCAAACTACTTCCCTGGAAATGTAAGTGCAGGGGTCCAAGTTTACCAATTCTGTATAGAATCTTCATAAGCACTTACATATTTGAGATCACATACTGACCTACTTTTTATTTAAATATGTGGACTCCGTGTTGATCATGCTTTTTAGAAAACAATTCTCAGTAGATATTGAAGTTACATTCCCTCTATGTCTCAGTTTTTTCTTTTTCTGTGTTGGTTACATAAATATCCATTCAAAATATATCAGTAACTATGAACTGAATAGTCTTTGTCACCAATAATTTTTCAAAGGTGAAGTGAAAACTATACACATTCACATATTCTAATAAAAAACTGCAGTGCAGGGTATTGCATGAAGAATTCTGCTACGTCAACTTTTACACTTCATGACTTCTCTACTGATTTTCCAGAATACACAGAAAAGTGAATAGATCCGAAATCATGAGAAGGAACCAACAACTCCAACAAGCAATGTCCCTCCCATTGATCCTCTATACACACTCACTCACTCACCCTCTCATGCTAGTAAACAGGCAGCCAGAAAGCCTTCTCATCTTGCTGTAGAACTCCCTTCTTCTGTTTTGCCAAGTACACTTTTCCTTTTCTAATGTGAAGCATAGCATCCACACAGAGAGGTAACACAAAGAATCGGACGGCTTGAAGCATCAGCCCAGGGAAGATCCTCACAGGAGCACTGCAGAAGCCTATGTTTCACCTGAGTCACCCCCAATTCCCTCGCCTCCAAGGTCAATACTCTTCTGAGTTTCAGGATCAGAGATTTGTTTAGCCTATTTCTTAACTATACAAATGGAATCATACTGTAGTTATACTCTTATATTTGGCTTCCTTAATTCAACATTGTCTTCAGACTCATTCATGTGCTGGGAATAGTCATAATTCACATTCTTATTTAAAAAAATAAGACTCCTATGTGGTATTTTTTTTTTTATGACAGGCAGAGGGACAGTGAGAGAGAGAGACAGAGAGAAAGGTCTTCCTTTGCCGTTGGTTCACCCCACAATGGCCGCCGCGCTGATCCAATGGCAGGAGCCAGGTGCTTCTCCTGGTCTCCCATGGGGTGCAGGGCCCAAGCACCTGGGCCATCCTCCACTGCACTCCCTGGCTGTGGGGAGCAATCCGGACTAGACTAGGTTACTCGAATTAAGACTTATTCTATGCATCTGCTCTCCCACAATATGGCGCTGGGAGAGAAGTAAACAGCTTCCGCACAGCTGCCTCCAGTTCAACTAATAAACTGTAGGACTTGCTCCTGATTGGAGGAGAGCAGCGTACTCGGCGTGTGGGCAGCCGAGTTGGGATTGGCGGAGGAGGACTATAAAGGAGGAGAGAGACGGCATGCACCAGGAACATCTATGGGGAACATCTAGCTGAAGGAACACCCGAGCAGCCCCCGAGAGAACCGGCCGGCGGTGTGCCGCTCCCCTGCGGAAGTGGGGAATGTGGCCAGGGGGAACTGCCCTTCCACGGAGGTGGAAGGGATAGTAGCCAACCCGGGAAGAACCAGCAGCAAACCCGGGGAGGGCCGAGCAGACAGAAAGAACAGCGCAGGGTCCTGTGTTGCTCCTCCACGAAGAGGGGGAGCGACACCTGGCCACAGCAGAGAGCTGGCCTGGAAGAGGGGCAACCGGGACAGAATCCGGCGCCCCGACCGGGACTAGAACCCGGTGTGCCGGCGCCGCAAGGCGGAGGATTAGCCTATTGAGCCGCGGCGCCGGCTCTATGTGGTATTCTTATATCAGGGGTGGGGAACCTTTTTTTCTGCCAAGGGTCATTTGGATATTGATAACATAATTCATGGGCCACCCAAAATTATCAACTTAAAAATCAGCCTGCTATAGCATTAGAGAATTTCAAATCCCACCTGAAGTTACCTTGGCAGAGCCAGACAAAATGATTTCACAGGACTTACACATGGGCCAGATGTTCCCCACTGCTGCTCTATGAATATACCACAGTTTACCAATCCATTTACTTGCAGGTGGACATTTGTGTTCTACTAATACCATCCTAGTGCACATTTTCTGGAGGTCACGTGCTGGGCATATATACCAGTACTGGGCTGCAGGCATCTCTCCTATGTTAGTATATACTGCAAAGAGCTTCTCAACACGGCTATATCACTTCCCACTCCCACAAGGAAGATGTGTGACTTCCAGTTGCTTCATATTGCTTCCCAACATCCTTTTAATGCAATTAGGAGTTCAGAACAAAGGATAGGAGCTCTCTAAGGGGCAGAAAGAATAAAACAAAGTATGATAAAACCACCTAAAAGTGAAATTTGAGCAGAAGGCTTATGCTGGTTGGACAGAAAAGCTGATACAGAGAACATTTTTGGAGTTAGGGAAATGAAAGTCCTGCAAACCACAAGAGTGGGACCAGAGGACTCCTCAGGAAAGCAAACTCATCTGCTTGCAAAGGGAGACACCATTTCTCATCCCGGAGCTGCTCCGATCATGGGGCTCCAAGTCTGGCTTTCACGGCTCTGTGGTTCACACTCAAGAAATCACTAAGCTAAGGAACTGACAACAAAGTCAAACATACAAAGAATACTTCTCATCAAACTGTTATTCCTCATTTGTTAGAAATCAGTAAATTAATATATTTAATGAGAAACTCAGATAATACTGACAAATTAACTCTAAGAAGCTTAAATAGCACGAAATCTGAAAACTAAACTTTGTAAATTCCCAATATGGGAAAAGAGAAAAAACACATTTGTTATATAAGTTAATAATTGTAGCAAAATTGTATAAGCACCAAAGACAACTTGATTATAATCCTGCCAATACACATGATTATATCTAGCTATCGAAAATTTATCTGAAGTTTCTTTGGTTGTTATTTCAGATTCCTTATCTGGGTTTCAATTATCTGTATCTCATATGGTTGTTATATGAAAAGTATATATAAAGCACTTTTATTCTTGATGTGCACTATACTCTAATATATATTAGCAGCTGGTACTATTCTAATAGACACCATCACCACCAATTAGAAAACAAACCAAGTATTCAGTTCACTGGTGAGATATTATAGCACATCCCAAATACCACCAATCCCAGGCTACTTCTAGGAGGTATTTCTTCAAGTTACAAACAAGAATGACAAAAGATGCAAGACACATATTTACAGCTCTGCTAAGATTCTTTCATTTCTGACCTCCAAAGTGAATTACTTCTAATGTCTATTGTGCTCAGGTAGGTGAGTGGGCAACATTAAAAGTAGTGACTTTCTCTTTAAGGAAGTATGAAATGTCAGTGTCCTTGTGGGTAGGGTCATCCAAACACTGCTACAAGTGCAGATTCTACCGCTGCTCTGGCTCCACTGGGAACGTAAGGAAGATGAAACCTGTGATCCAATGGACACTGAACAGCTACAATAAGCATTTAAGTACACGGTAAGTTCCAGTCACAGTTCCAACACTTTGCAAGTATGTAACGTTCATTTAACTCCTAGATGACTTTTTCAACATGGTACTAAACACTTGTGCCAGCTGATGAGTTAGGGCTGAGGGTCCTGAAGATGAAGAAGGTGGCAGTTGCAGGTTGTAGGCAGAAATGCAAAGTATTGCAGAGAGTTAGGCTTGGGTGGAATGGGCACTGGGAAGGGGGCTGTGGAAGGGATGAGAGAAAAGGATTACTTATGGAGGGACAGGAAGTGAGAAAGACTGAGGGAAGCTATGGAGGCTCTCTCCATGCTGGGGTTGTAGGAGGAGGAAAAGTGCTATGACACCAGTCACTGATTCTTGAAATGCATCCCCAGGAGGCTGAAATTGGGCAAGGTGTCCTATCCAAGTGATATGGAGCAAAGAGTCGTGATGAATCAGATTAAGCAGAAATCCTGTTAATTAGGATACACATTCATTTGCTGTAAGAGAGACTAAAAAGGTACTTCAACTTTCACTTGTACTCACACCTCAGTTACCAAAATGTAGGGATGTAGTTTTAGTTACTTGCAATAGGAGGCTGGAGATTGTTAGGTGACCATGGGCCCTGCAAAAACAGGGGGATCCATCATTACAGAGGAAGGGTAGAAGAGATGGTGAGGAATGACAGGCAGTCTCTACCATGTTCATTTAAGGAGAGCTGAGAAGCAAAGTCCCAGTGCCTGGGAGACTAAGTAGAAACCCCAAGCCAAAGTATTAGAGACAAAATCAAAGTCACTATCAGCAGTCAATACTTTGAGAATAGGCAGAAGGAGAGAAAACGAAAACAATTTGCAAGTGCACAAGTGAGGCCCAACTCAAGTGCTGGGGTGTGGGTGTACCTATTTTGCAGGGCCAGGGAGAAGAAGCCATTCAAATGGGAAATGCTGCAAAAAGCAAAAAGGTTGCCCTAGGTGTGAGTGCTCATAGATGAAGTCAGCTGGGATCAGCTGTGAAGGGCTGAGTGCTAGGCAGTTTGGTTGCTTCTCTGTAGGCAGGGGATGTGTTTGGGTATCAGTGCACTGGAAGATGTACTGGAAAGAGACCAATTAAGGAAGAACTGCAATAGTCTACACACGCATTGATTCAACAAACATCTGGGCCAGAAACTGTCTTGGGCGCAGTATATCCAAAGACAAGAAGGGATT